GAAAGAATTGGAATTCAGTGAGGGTTTAGCCATTTCTGCCTCTGAGCATTTGCTTATCAGGAAAGACAGCTAATGACCCTGAGTTTCTTTTAGAGAATTTCTGGAAGTATAAGAGAAAGTATTGGAACCCAGAGGCTTAAAAGGGTGAAGATCCTGGTGCATTAATCCCACCCTATACCCAATTTGCTCTGTCAGTTCAACAAAGTCTATTTAAAAGCCTAAAGGTATAATATGTGATTTGACAATCTGATGCTAAAATTTTCACATAGGCATACACTTGCACATGTGTGAAATTACATATGTAGTAATTTACTTAAATTATTAATTAAAACATTGCTGGCACACCAAAAGCTTGAAAGCAGTCTGCATATTCTTTAAAAGGATGTGGGTAAGATAATTTCTAAAGCATCCACACAATGGAAAACATTGCAACCACAGAAGTGATAGAAAGAAATTCTATCACTTCCAGTTCAAGTTATTAAGTTAAAAAAAGCAAGTTGTAAAACAATGTATAGGGTAACATTTATTTAAAAGTAAGATATAGATACGTATAATATACAGATACATACTTCTATGTCTGCATGTTTGTATATGAATGTACATATGTATGTTTATGTATATTACACATTTAAATATAAAATTTCTCAAGAAGTGGTATGTAAGAAATTAATCACATTAGCTACCTGTAAATGGTGAAATTCATGGCTATAAGATGAGAATATATGGGAGAAATTTCACTATGCAGTCTTTAAATTATAAAATTTTAAATCTTGATGTTTTCATTCAGAAAGTAAATAACATTTAAAGAAAACAAAAAATAAAAATAAAAAACAAAAAACAAATCAGTAACATTCCTATAGTACATCAATAATCATTAGAATGTGTAACAATAACACCTCATTTATAATGCAAAAAAAAAATGACTAATGAAATTTGACAAAAGTTGTGCAATATCTTTAACTGAAATAAATTGAAATAAAATAAAGAAGTCTGAGTAAATGTTCATTGATGAAATAAAGGAACACGACAAATCTCTCTAGTCTATAAATTCAATTCAATTTCAATCATAATTACTAAGAAGATTTAATTTTCTAATTAAAATCATACACTAAAGGGCCAAGATAGTTTTGAAGAAGGATAGCAGGGTTGAAAGATATGCCCTATCATATATCATGACACATAGCTGTAATAATTTAAATAAAAATAATCAAATTAAAAACTCGTAAAAGGACTCATGTGGAGATACGGACTTGGTAGATGACAGAAGTACCTTACAATTATTGGGAATAGTCGATAAATATATTTTTTAATATTAAAAGACATTATTATCTCACATCTCAAATACAAAAATAAAATCCATATAGATCAAGAACTCAATGTGAAAAAAGAACTTCAAAAATTTTAAAGAAAATATCTTTATAACAGGATAGGAAGGGGTTTCTTAAATGTGACACAAATTACAAATCATAATTGGTAAACTGTAAATTTGATAATATCAAAATTATATCTGTGCAACAATAGTTACCATAAGTGTTTTTTAAAAAGCAATAGACTAATTATTGCAAATAAATAAAAACAGAAATGTAACAAGCAGAATAAAAAAAAGTAATTCCTATATATTAAGAAAAAATCAAAGAACTTAGTAGTAAAATGGGCAAAAATAATAAATAATAAGCAGGAAGCAGAAAGGGAAAATTGAGTCTCCATTATATAACAATGAAAAATTTCCTATTAATTAGGGAAATCAAAACTAAAATCACAATTGCCAAAGTTTAAAAGTGTGATAATTCCAAGTATTCAATGTGGTTATGGCTTTTGCATGACTTGAGTCAATTATAAATTGGTCCAATCATTTTGGTGAGCAATTACCAAATTAATTTGAAGATATTTATCACAATAGCCTAGCAACTTATCTCTTAGCTATGTATCCTAAAGGAGCTCTCTCTCTCACACACACAGATTACAGTTTAACATAGGAACAGAAACTTGTCTATTATCTAAATGTTTATCAATATGGGAATACATAAATCAATAGTCATATTTATGGGATGGAATACTATACTGCTGTTAAAAAGAATAAATTGTATCTACTCAAATAAGCATAAATTAATATCAAAAATAAAATACTAAGAGTATAATCAGATCAACAGAATATGTATAATGATACTATTGTATAAAATTTAAAAACAAAAAATAATGCTATCTATTTTTACGAATGCCTATTTATAAACCAAAAGACAATATGAATTTAATAATTAGTTCTTGGAAAGAAGAAAAGTGAATGGCATCGCTGGAGAGTACAAAGATAACTTTAACTTGATCCTAGTAAATATGGTACATTGTTAACCAAGTATCTGGGTTATTATATTATTCTACATATTTTTCTACAAATTATATTATTTCATTATATTTAAAAGTTATAAATTTTAACAAATGCCCTGAGATCTTTTCCTCATGGGCCAGCATTCATGAATTCTGGATCATGAGTCCAGAGTAGCACTACCAAGGAAAACTAGAGATGGCTCCTCTGTCCTTACCTGCCACCTTCAGATCCACGATGGCCTCTTCATAGATGTCACCATCTTTAAAGAAACAGCGGTACTGCCCCTCATCAAAAACATTGATATTGCGGATTCTGAGAGTCATTTTGCCTTCTCTCAGGTTGTTATTCAGGAACACTGTGCGATTCGTATAGTTCTGAGGGCTTTTTCCAGAGAGTTTTCCCCCTTCCTTGTGCACATAAATTGGTTGGGAGTAGTGATCACGATACCAGCCGACATTCATGTGTTCTGCACTCTGTGGTGGGGACAGCTGGCAAGTGAGATCAGCATGTCCACCTACTGTGACCACCTGGTGGCTTCTGGAACTGTTCACAGTGAACTGCTCTGTGGAGGAAGTTAGAGACCAAGGATTTAGTCTGAAGACCACAGAAGAATGCTTCACCTAGATCTCTCTGCTCCGGATACTTTGGCATATGTTCTTATTCTTGATGCCAAGTCCTTTATGACTCAGTAACTTCAGGGGTATCTTTGCTCTGACAGCAGCTTTCCTCCCTCAGACACTCCAATCACTGCTTCCTTATCTCTCAGGTCTCAGCTTAAATGTCAACTATTAAAGAAATTTTTTATGACCATCCATTTAACATTGTCCCTAATCATACATAAACATATCTTCATAGCACATATTGCTACCAGGTATTTTTAATTCCTGTATTATCTTATGGCCTACTAATTTGTAAGTTATACAACAGCAGAGTCTTGTTTTTATTCCCCTTTTTAAGTCTCTTTATTATACCCAATGCATAAAACATTGCCTGAACATAGTAAGCACTCTGTATACATCTAACAAAGGAATGGAAAATACTTCTATTATTGAGAGGTGGGATGTGAACAACTATTGCTGAACAACATCCTTTATTTATCAGATACACCAGCTACTTTTTTTAGTATTCATTTTTGGTGGATTAAAGATGGCCACAAATTTTCTGATGCTCCCTCCATGAAGAAAAAGGGTCTATGTCTCCTCCTCTTAAAACTGTGGGGTTTGTGATTGCTTTACTCAGTAAAATATGGCAGAAGACAACCTGCAATAATTTTTGAGACTGTCTTAAGAAATGAGCAGCTGTCATTTT